GGGTACAGAGAGCTTGCGCGTCCATAGTTTTTAAATTCCCCAATTAACTGAAGTTGGCTCTTGGGTCCTACCAGCAACCCTAGTCTGATGCTATGACTTCATGCTTACTGACGTGGTACCTTTGGAAACTCTCCAGGGATCCGGTCGCTCTCTACTCACCAGCAGGAGGCTTTAGCAGGAGTAAGTCCTGACTGTGGCAGAATCCAACCTCTGTGTTCCTGACACACTGCCTGTTTCGACAGCCACAAGAGGAAGCATGCAAACACAGCGTGCAGTTAGTCTCGAAATGTCACATGAGGGCACAAGCACAGATACACATTGCTATGCCTGTAACAGCACCTCCTGAGGAGTCTGAAGGGGAGCCTGCTAGAGTGGGTGGAAGGGGCCAGGGAGTCAAAGTGTCACCCAGTGGTGGTCCTCCCACCTCCCAAGGAGCCCTGGGAGACACTGGAAGTTAACTCTGAAATACAATGGAGCAACAAATGATATAAAAACGATTTCAAAATGTATACCTGCATAAAGGACTACTTAAAGCGATCACTTTGTTTCTCCTTAAACTCTACATTTATGGACCAGCTGGACTTTTCTTTCTGCCCTAAATCCTGTATCTCTAAGAATGGCTGGCTGAGGAGAGGAGGGAGTAACTTGTGGCCCACCCCTCACTGCTCTGTCTGGGAAGCACCATTTGTGCCCTTGCCACCCCCAGCCCCACCCCCAGGAGGGGATGGAGCAGGTGAAGAGGCTGGTGGCAGGGATGTGGCAGGTCACGGCAGTGGGGAGAGAACAATGGCTTATCTAAGAAAACTAAAGCCCAGTCTCAAGTTTCTACCAGAAATAATGGAGACCACTGATAGTTTGATTCTCTTTTGGCCCAATAGGTAAGCCCGACTCCCACACACTGCGTAAGAAGCTTTCAAAATCCATGGCAGGTATTTGCTGCCCCCACAGGTACACCAGGAACACTTTTTATCAACATCCTGCCATGCTTCCAGAAGACATTAAGACTGCTGGTACTGTTGTTGAGAATGGACAACCTTTATAAATCCTTCTGATTCTAGGAACCCAGGGGAACTGCTAGGATTTATCTTACATCCCCTTATTTAAAAAGCCATTAAAATAATTCATTTTACCAGACTTATGCCTTAGTTTATTTATGTATAGGTAAACAGTATTCTTCTGTATAATATATTCCCTACACCTTTTTCTAGGTTTATTTTTAACCTATCCAAACTCATTCTTAATACTGCTTGTTAATATTTAACAGGAAAATGTGATTTATAATGTGGAAAACAGAGATTGAAGCTGTGAGGAAAATAAGAAAGCACTCATTTAGACTACTCAGTACACTGATGAAGATGAAGCTGAAGGCCAAGTTACAGTTAAAATTTATAAGAAATGGGCCAGCCCGTGGCTCGCTCAGGAGAGTGTGGTGCTGACAACACCAAGTCAAGGGTTAAGATCCCCTTACTGGTCATC